CTCCTCCTGCCCCTTCCCTGCTATGACTAGGGTCTCTCCTCTTGCCCCTTCCCTGATATGGTGATGCTGCTGTTATCTCTCCTCAGATTGTGGCACTGAAATTTATTCCTAAAGTGGGCAGATCAGACAAAGAGCTGAGAGGACTGAAGAGAGAGATCCAGATTATGAAAGATTTATGTCATCCCAACATTGTGCGCATGCTGGACAGCTGTGAGACAGAGCGAGAGGTGAGAGACATCCCAACAATGTGCGCATGCTGGACAGCTATGAGACAGAGCGAGAGGTGAGAGACCTCCTCATGTTATTTTCTCTGGCCAGGTGGTTGTTGTGACTGAGTATGCAGAGGGAGAATTGTCCCAGATCCTGGAAGATGATGGCAATCTGTCTGAGGATCTGGTAAGGGGAGCTCTCGGCTTCTTGAACTGTCTGTTAATAACCCTGTGACTGAGTTCTCTTCAGTGACTGTTGTGTGTCTCTAGGTGAGGGATGTCTCTGCACAGTTGGTGTCAGCCCTCTATTACCTCCATTCTCACCGCATCCTTCACCGAGACATGAAACCTCAGAACATTTTACTGGGAAAAGACGGAACGGTCAAGCTTTGCGATTTTGGGTGAGTTGGTATCATCTGTCTGTAATTGTGACAGTCATATGTCAGCTACAATGTCCATCTGATGAGATCACCCTCCCATAATGTCCAACTGATGAGATCACCCTCCCGTAATGTCCATCTGTTGATATCACCCTCCCGTAATGTCCATCTGATGATATCACCCTCCCATAATGTCCATCTGATGAGATCACCCTCCCGATGTCCAGCTGATGATATCCCCCTCCAATAATGTCCATCTGATGAGATCCCCCTCCCGTAATGTCCATCTGATGAGATCACCCTCCCATAATGTCCATCTGATGAGATCACCCTCCCGTAATGTCCATCTGATGAGATCACCCTCCCATAATGTCCATCTGATGAGATTACCCTCCCGTAATGTCCAGCTGATGAGATCACCCTCCCATAATGTCCATCTGATGAGATCACCCTCCCGTAATGTCCAGCTGATGAGATCACCCTCCCATAATGTCCATCTGATGAGGTCACCCTCCCATAATGTCCATCTGATGAGATCACCCTCCCGTAATGTCCATCTGATGAGATCACCCTTCCATAATATCCAACTGATGAGGTCTTCCTCCCGTAATGTCCATCTGATGAGATCACCCTCCCATAATATCCAACTGATGAGATCACCCTTCCATAATGTCCATCTGATGAGGTCACCCTCCCATAATATCCAACTGATGAGGTCTTCCTCCCATAATGTCCATCTGATGAGGTCACCCTCCCATAATATCCAACTGATGAGGTCACCCTCCCATAATATCCAACTGATGAGGTCTTCCTCCCGTAATGTCCATCTGATGAGATCACCCTCCCGTAATGTCCATCTGATCACCCTCCCATAATGTCCATCTGATGAGGTCACCCTCCCGTAATGTCCATCTGATGAGGTCACCCTCCCGTAATGTCCATCTGATGAGATCACCCTCCCATAATGTCCATCTGATGAGGTCACCCTCCCATAATGTCCATCTGATGAGATCACCCTTCCATAATATCCAACTGATCACCCTTACATAATGTCCATCTGATCACCCTTACATAATGTCCATCTGATCACCCTTACATAATGTCCATCTGATCACCCTTGCATAATGTCCATCTGATCACCCTTACATAATGTCCATCTGATCACCCTTACATAATGTGCTAAATGTGCAGCGCTAAAGGTGAAAATTAAATAAAAATCATTGAATCAAATATAAACAATATCACAGCAAGTATTATAATTATAAAGTGTTATAGTGCCAACAATAACTCAGCAACAGTGTTCAATCAACTCAAATAGCAGTGTTCAAACAATAGTGATGAGCTATAACTTGCTATACCAGGGGTCTGCAACCTGTGGCTCCGGAGCCGCATGCGGCTCTTTCATCCCTCTGCTGCGGCTCCCTGTCCAGGGGTGGAATTACCACCGGGGCCTGAGGCTGTGGGGGGGGGGCCCCCAGTGAGGTTCGGTCCTGGGCACCCCCTTGGTGGAATATGCGGCAGTACAAGATCCCGGGGCCCCGCACTGCCGACGGGCTTCTCAGCAAGGGGTTGAGTCCTGTGACTAACTCAAGTGTGTGTCACATGTCACATGCCCCGCCCCCTGCAGTGCACACCATCCGGCTGTGAGGCTTGGCAGGTGAGTCCGAATGAGGAGCGGGGGGTATGGTACGGGTGTAATTGCACACTGTGTGCTGTTATTTCATTTAATTAGAAATGTGGATTACAATGGGGAACATTATGCTGTAATGTTTGCTATTATAATCTATTTCTCTGATTTAAATGATTAGACAGGGCCGCTGTTCTATCAAAGTTTGTGACTAGGTTGGAATGTGTGACCGGTGACGTGGTCACACATTTCAATGTAATCACGCCCAGTTTTTCGGCGGTGGAATGTGTGTCCGCCAATAGGTCAAGCATTCCAACGCTGTTCCAGGGCAGGACGGCATCGCAAATCACATGTGAACTGATCGGTCCTGAAATGTCACTTCCATCTGACTTTGTCAGTGGGGTGGAATTTGAGATTGCACTCAGAGTCTGAGACCTTAAAGGTAACGTAGTCCCAAACTTTGATGGAACACCGCCATCAGGGGAGTACGGCCGGTACCCATGTGAGGGGTCTGGGCAGCCTGGGGGGCCTCTTACATGAGTATCAGCTGTCCCAGGAGCGGCATGGCAAATTAGAAATGTGGATTACAATGGGGAACATTATGCTGTAATGTTTGCTATTATAATCTATTTCTCTGATTTAAATGATTAGACAGGGCCGCTGTTCTATCAAAGTTTGTGACTAGGTTGGAATGTGTGACCGGTGACGTGGTCACACATTTCAATGTAATCACGCCCAGTTTTTCGGCGGTGGAATGTGTGTCCGCCAATAGGTCAAGCATTCCAACGCTGTTCCAGGGCAGGACGGCATCGCAAATCACATGTGAACTGATCGGTCCTGAAATGTCACTTCCATCTGACTTTGTCAGTGGGGTGGAATTTGAGATTGCACTCAGAGTCTGAGACCTTAAAGGTAACGTAGTCCCAAACTTTGATGGAACACCGCCATCAGGGGAGTACGGCCGGTACCCATGTGAGGGGTCTGGGCAGCCTGGGGGGCCTCTTACATGAGTATCAGCTGTCCCAGGAGCGGCATGGCAGAGGTGACAGGGGAGGGGGTGGAGAAGGCCGGGCCCCAGCAGCAGGTAAGAGTTGGGAGGAGGTACAGGGAAAGGGACCCCGGCCTATCATAGAGAGTGTCAGATGGGCTGTGCAGGATCTATGGGTCACTCTCAGGTGGGCTCTGCAAGGTCTCAGGTAAGCCCAGAGTCCAGTGCGTTACTAATCCCACATATATCTATATACAGGCTATACATAGCATAAAGGTCAAAACCGATATATGCCGTATTATCTTCATTTTAGATGTCAAAAGGGTTATGTGGCTCCCGGTGTTTTCTGTGGGAAACGGGTCCAAATGGCTCTTTGAGTGTTTAAGGTTGCTGACCCCTGACCTATACAGAGGTCAAAGTGTAAACAATCAGTACACTCTCTTGTCACCCAGATGGTGATGATTTTGTCATACATTAATGAATGTGTATGTCTGCTTCCAGTCACACTGGTAGAATTTTCGATCAGTGCCAGATGGTGATCCATGTAACATAAAAGCACAATATTGGTGATAACATTCAAGGAGAGTCCGAGGTAAACTTCCAATGTTTCAATATTAGATCCATTCTTCCCACACCCATGTGCTTCAAGTGTCCACAAAAAGCCCCTCTGGGAGGTTTCTTTTATAAACCCATGACGGACTGTAGTCTGTAGACATTCCTTTGGCTCCGCCCTGATTGCAGTGTCACTTCCTTCCGCCAGGTTTGCCCGGGAGCTGAGTCTGGACACACTCATGGTGCGCTCTATTAAAGGGACCCCCCTGTACATGTCACCAGAGCTGGTCCTGGAACGTCCGTACGATCATCGCTCCGACCTCTGGGCTTTGGGTTGTATTGTCTATGAGTTGTTGGTGGGGACCCCCCCCTTCTATACTCACAACATCTTCCAGCTGGTCAGCATCATTACCCAGCAGCCAGTGCGATGGCCCAAGGAGGTATCAGCTGAACTCAAGGTATGACCCCAAGGTGGGAGGAGTCAGACATTGGGGAATCCACAGACAATCACCTGATGCTTTTCATTGTTCCCAGGATTTCCTCCAAGGTCTCCTAACTAAGGAGCCGACTCTTCGCCTTTCCTGGCCGGACCTCCTGAGACATCCCTTCATCAAAGACCAAGTCATGGGTGAGACCCC